GGTAATGACAAAAAAACATAATTAAATTTAATAGAATGATTGATTTTAATTTAGGCTAAATTTTACTTTAAGCTCTACAACATTTATATTAATCTAAAAATTATTTTCTTTTTATTTTATTATTTTTGAACTCAACGAATTACCTTAATTGTTGTTTGTTGTTTATAATAATAAAAGCAAACATTAATTTTTTAAATATGGATAAAAGACTAATTGCGTTTGAATAGTATGTACAATGTACATTTTAAAATTCGAGTTGGTCTATCACGCACGTTTGTAATCGTTAGAGCCAATTGGAACTAAAGCTCCCGCTCTCAGCGAGTTAAGAGCAGGATGGTTGAAGAAAAGAGCAAACTCCAATGCTGTATTATCGTGTCCGGCGCAGGGATATCCTGTACCCTCCTTTAGGTAATGACACAAGATCGATACAATTAAATCCGATACATCTTGCGATATTTATATTTCTCAAGCGAAAATAAATCGTTTATTTTTTATTTCTTCATTTTATGCTCGAATCTTTTAGCTTTGTTTTGATTTATTATTTGATAATAGCGCACCGATTTATTGGTTTAATTCGATTAAAGATTAATCCTGAGCTAAAGATTAATCTTGAATAATATTACAATTAATTTTATCAAGTCCAAGTTGTCCGTTAGTTGATCGCATGAACGTTTATAATCGTTAGAGCCGATTGGAACTAAAGCCCCGGCTCTCACGAACGAGATAAGAGGGGGATGGCTGAAGAAGAAAGCGGGTTCAAGCGCAGTATTACCATGTCCAGCGCAGGGATATCCTGTACCCTCTTTTAGGTAAAATTACCGTATTTAATGAACACGTGTTGCGTGCCGTTTTTTCTGATTTCTCGATGGCTTTTGTCCGCCAGAACCGGTCGGCAGCAAAGCGCCGGCATTGACGGGTGATTTAAAGGGTGGATGGAAAGAAAGAAGGGCGGGCTTCACGGTCATATTGTTCTGCCCAGCTCAGGGACACCCTGTGCCTAATTTTAGGTAAATTTTTTAAATCTAGAGATAAATATACAATTTTTCTTAAAAAAAAAGACTGAATCTTTTTTCGAGAAAAAGATAATTAAAAGAAATTTTTTTGATGAATAAATGTCTTTACCTTCGATATTTGAAATACGTTCGTTTTCTGAATCGTCAGAACCGATCGGAAGTAAAGCACCAGCGTTGATCGGCGAAATGAAACGCGGATGGAAAGAAACGATCGCGAGATTCAGCGTGGTATTGACATGCCCAGGTCAGGGCCACCCTGTGCCCAGTTTTAGGTAACGATATTTTCGCGATCTCTTTTTGAGCGATTAAAATGTATGTAGAACCGGTCGGCACAAAAGCGCCCTCGATATTGGGGGAAAAAGGCAGTCTGATGGAAAGGCGCACCAATACACACATCGTGATTCTTTGCCAAGGGCAAGCTTACCCTGTGCCAGCGTTCAGGTAAATTATATATGGGCGAATTAAATGGTTGATTAGCATCATCTTTTATTTGTTAATTGTAAAAGCTATGGTTTAGCATTTACGTCGGGAAAAAAATCAATACTTGATAATAATTTCTTTATTTCTACGATATATTTGTACAACGAAAGGCCTGTAATATTTACTTGCGTAAAGAGCCGGTAGGTAGTAAGGCGCCCTCCGTCACGGGTGATGCAAAACGATGGCTACGAACGAAATTGACGGCTGGATTCGCGATGCAGTGTCAAGCGCAGGGTCACCCGGTACCAGCGTTCAGGTACTTAGAGTGTGATTGTGCCTCTTATTGATTTGTGCGATTAATGACATGATATTGACTCGTGATGCTGACGGACGATTATAGGAAGACAATTTCGGCTTGTTTTATTTTATTCGACGATTGTATATTAATACGAAAACATAGATTTTGTGATATTGTGCTTTTTTTTTCAATTCGGAAACGATATCCACTCGACTCTTATATTGTCAGAGCCGATGGGAGCAAAGGGGCCGAAATTCTCGAGTGACGATCGTGTCAACTCGTTTATACGCGCTGCAGGAAGCGCATCGAGCTTGCAATGTCCTGCGCAGGGGTTCCCCGTACCGTCGTTCAGGTAATTGATAGAATGAGAAGAATTAGAAGAATTATTCAGACGCGTGCTTTCACTTCGCTCCAGAGCCTGTGGGATCGAAGGCGCCTGCCTTTCAGAGTGACGCGAAAAGCAGTACTTACATAAGAAATGCGAAATCGTCGCTCGCGTTAACTTGCGCCGCTCAAGCATCGCCACCTCCAACTCACAGGTAATTTTATTAACTCTGGATATAGATCGCGTAATTTGAAGTTTGAATTGATAAAAATATTTGCCGTCGGAATTTATATTTTTAATTTCTTAAATTTTAATTTTTTTAAATATTTTTAATAAATTTTTAATAAGTTGTTAATAATTAACAATGTTCTTATATTTTTTATGCAAATTTGCAAATTTTTATTTTTATGTATAAAAATAATAATTATAGAATAGTTTTTTCAAATTACATTTATATTTTAATATTCTTTATTAATAATTATTATTTTTAATTTATTAGATTAATTAATATAAAAATATAATATGGCGGTGGCACGTCCTGTCCTGATTTAGATGTGTTATTTTAAGAAAAATAATAAGTTTCGTTTTTACATTAGAACCAGCAGGTCGTGTATCTCCAAAATTCCCGAAATCAGCAAAAATTGATTCGTTCGAGGTGGCGAACGGTGCCATGATAAGTTTATTGTGCGATGCACAGGCATTTCCTGCTCCCGCGTTTAGGTCAGTTCATAATTAGTCTTATTTAAATCTGTTCTATGCGCTCTGTTTTTATTTCCAATTTAATTTTAGTAAACTAATAAAAAGTATTGTGCGACGGTGGCGCGTTCTGTTTAAATGCAGATATGTCATTTTAAGAAAAATAAAAAATTTATTTACGCGTTAGAACCGGCAGGTCGAGTATCTCCAAAATTTCCGAAATCAGCAAAAAGTGATTCATTCGAGGTGGCGAACAGTGCCGCCTTAAGTTTATTATGCGATGCCCAGGCATTTCCTGCTCCTGCGTTTAGGTTAGTCTATATATTTAAATAATTTTATTTAAGTCTCTGTTCTACACTCCGTTTTTATTTTCAATTTAATTTTAATAAAAAGTATTGTGCGGCGGTGGCGCATTCTGTTCAAACGCAGGTATGTGATTTTAAGAAAAATAACAACATTTGTATTTACGCGTTAGAACCGGCAGGTCAAGTGTCTCCAAAATTCCCGAAAATGGCAAAAATCAATTCCTTTGAAGTGGCGAACGATGCGGAAATCAGTTTGTTGTGCGATGCACAGGCATTCCCTGCTCCCGCATTTAGGTCAGTTTATATACATACAAGCATATTTATATTAGTCTCTTCAAAATATACTCCACGTTGTTATTTTCAATCTAATTTTAATAAATTATTAAACAGAAATTGTATCGCACATGGCGGTGGCGTGTTCTGTCCTGATATAAATCTATTATACGAAAGATAATAAAAATTTATGCGCATTAGAGCCAGCAGGTCGTGTGGCCCCAAAATTCCCGAAAACAGCAAAATCCAATTCTTTTGAAGTGACAAACGATGCCGAAATTAGTTTACTGTGTGATGCTCAGGCATTCCCTGCTCCCGCATTTAGGTCAGTCCATGGATATATTGAATTAATCTTCATATATTTCCGTAGAGCTTGTTCTTATTCAATGCAGTATAACTTCCGTAATGTTATCTGTAGAACCGATAAATGGTGCCAAGCCTAGAGTCGCTTCGACTTCTAAATACGATGTTCTCGCGAGTGTCGTCGGAGCGGCTGTAACAATGTTATGCCCTGCACAGGGACACCCTCTTCCAGCTTATAGGTATTTATATTATTACTGTTAGTTGTAATTTGTAGTGGAGGCTGTCCTACATTTTATCAATTCTATTCCCTCATAAAAGTATGTCTTCGATATGGCGTTCCTCTTTAGGCAAAGGACAGTTTTATTTAGATGACACATATCCATCAATGTAAGATATCTCGATTCATTTCATCGCTTTATTGTTTATGCATTTAGAGCCAGTAAGTGGCGCAGCACCGAAAGTGCCACCGACAGCTAAAATAACTGTCCTCTCAGTCGCGTCGCGAACTGCTATGGTGATGCTGTGTCAGGCTCAAGCGAATCCACTTCCTGTCTTCAGGTACGCCGATATAGGCGCAATATTAAAAGGAGTTTCTTCTAATCATTTTAAAATGAAAATTAAGAGAAAATAGATTGACTCTAAATGAAGAAAACTATTTATTTGAGACTTTTCTATTTTCAAGAAAAAGTTATCTTAAAACAATCTTTAGACACTATGAGTGTATGCGTGTGTAGGTGTGTGTTGTGTGTGTCAGTTTAATTAGTTTTTTTAAGTCAAAAAATAACAAATTTCTCTTTCTGAGATGTGCATCTTGCCGATCATATACTTCAATATTAAATTGAAACATATATGTGAAGATATCGATTGATTCCGCGGTAGGTGAAACCTCTCGCCCTTTTCGTTTTTAGAACCGGTTGGAAGTAGTCCACCTCGATTGCCGCCTAGATCCAAATTTGACGGAATGATGAAAAACGTGGGTCAAGCAGTGACGTTGCTCTGTGAGGCTCAAGCTAGTCCGTCGCCTTTGTTCAGGTGAGCAAAGTCGAGCAATTTAACATAAATCGTTTGAATTTATTCAAAAAACTCATATAAAACAAAATTATTTAAATTCTCTCCTGGATTATTAATAATTGTAATAAATTTGACTAAAATCGGATTACAAGTATCTTTATAAAAATGAAATATTTTGACATGATTCGTGAGAATTCGTGAGAAAAACCGTAAAACGGTTTTCAATCGTTATCTTCACATTTTATCGGAAATTCGCGTTCTGCGTGTCATAGATCAATAATACGTTGAATAACGATGACGACGACAATGATTATGGTGGCCTCGCGTTCTCCATTTTGTTATTTGCGCTATTGCAGAACCGCGAGGCAGCGTACGTCCGAACGTACGAGACAAAGATGTGAACGGATTGAGGAGGGACATCCAAATCGGACGTATGGTCGGCCTACCTTGTCCTGTTCAGGGTTTCCCAGCACCTGCATTCAGGTATAGGCATTCCCAAGCGAATTGACAAATCGCGATGCGAATTAGAGTCGCATGTCGGCAATTTCGAAATATACACAACGTTTGTATATAATTATATCCCATGTTAAATTGTTATATAATTGCGGGAAGATCAGATCCAACTGGCGCAATGAGACGTGTCTTTCACTATGTTAGTTCGTATCGTTGCACTGATCTCCTGCTTACAGAACCAACCGGCAATGTTGCGCCACGCATTGCCGGTGAACGTTACGAGGGTGGCAAATTAATAGATGTACCAAAGACGGGTATGGCGGCCTTGGACTGTGCAACTCAGGGTTTTCCTGTCCCACTGACAAGGTACATTAGCAAAGATTGCTGAAATCTCTTCTTTTCTATGCGTTCTTCAGATGGTACAAATAAAATCGCGCCACGATCATCGGGCAAGAAGTTTGGCTTTGAAGTTGTCCTGGCTACTGAAAGTCAGGACATCGCGTTGAGTCATTCACTTCAGGGATACCCTGTTCCTCTCACAAGGTAGACTCTGAAAGTTTTCACGAATAAATCTGTGACCGTTTCCTCTGTTGTTTCCTCGTTGTCGTCGTCGTCGATAAATCGAATCAAGTTCTAACAAATTGCTGAAATAGAATTCCAATGTGAGAATGCTCTTGATGAACGATAGAGAGTGAAAATCACAATACGTTATATATGTAGGTTGTGGAATTTGAGAATTAACAATTTTGTGAATTCGGGATTATGTAGATAACAGTGATTTTACTTCCAACATTTATCGCATGACGTGATCGTTTATGTTTGGCATCGGAATGAGGGCAGTGTAAATTCTAAACAATTTTTTGAGCTTAGTAAAGTATATTATTTACGTAATGCTATCAGATACGAGTGCCATGCAATAAATAACCATATGTAAACTGCATGACACTCGTTATGATGTCATAACTGCAACATTGCATTCGATAATCATCATCTGGCAAGATTGGCATCATAGTCAGGTGAGTAGATTGCATGTGAAAATTCTATCGAGTTAAGTCAAGACGAACGCAATGGCGGCTAGGGTACGTATAATTCAACTCTTAATCGCTTAAATTCAAACCTCGCGAATCGGTTCCAGAGTGCAGTTAAGAAATAGAGTGAAATGGAAACGAAGTTCTCGATGAGACGAAGTTCTCACACACTTTGGGCGATCTATTTATTTCAGAGCCGTCTGGTCGTACTGCCCCGAAGACGACTGGCGACGGCCTTAATAAGTACCGCGGGGTAGAGGGCGAGTCTCTGGCGCTGGCGTGTGCGGCACAAGGCTTTCCTGCCCCGATAACTAGGTACACACCTCCGTACAGATCTCATTTCTCCCTAATTTGGATGTAGTCTCATGCTCCACGGGGCACAGATCCTGTATTCACTTTCGATATTTTCCATCCTTACCCTCTACCCCGTGTCGGGTGGCGGTACCGTAAGATTCGACAGGGGCAAGAAGAAAGAACGAATGATTTTTTTTTTTTTTTTTTTATTTTTTAAACAGAGATAGGATAAAATTCTGGAAAGAAATATACAAGTATTTTTAAAATCTGTAATGTGAGAGAAAGAGCATAGAGAAGGAGGAGGAGAGGGGAAGAAACGAGAGAGAGCGTAGATTAGTGCAGAACTTGGAAGCGAGGTTACCGCTGAAAAAAAACTGATATTTTCATGCGTTGACTCAATGATTTCGATCGCCTTTCAATGTAAATTACGCGGTACTACATGAGATACAAACGATAGCGTTAATCGACGAAATATGTATCCCTGATGCGGGGCCAATCGGACGTGTTGGTTTTCAGTGCCAACTGGATCCTTCCCTCAACCCTCGAGATAGGTGACGGAAGCGCGACCTCGAAAAGGATGCGGGCCCTCTGCTCCCCCGGTATCCTCGGTCCGGGTGGTCCAAGAGGGCGTCACCCGATCAATAGGGCGGTCAATGTTGCCCTACACCTGCACACCTCCAAATAAGTCCCACAATATTTGGCTGGTAAGTCCTTGCCACCTTCTCGTGCCTCCGTTCATCCGATCGTATTAATTCATTCCCTATCCTCTCTCTCTCTCTCACTCATTCAAGAGGAAAGGTAAAGAATGGATCGTTCGTTTATGTATACGTGTGTGAGTGATTGAGAAGAATCGAGCCTTAACGTTTTTTCACATCGTTGCACTATTGCCATTAAACGTACCGCCAATTCACCACCATCAGTTTTGCTCCCTGTCCAATCGCCTTTTATTATCCGTCACCACTTGCCATTATATACATTCGACAATATCTCGTGACTTCCGTTTGAAATTGATTCTGAAATTGGTTACTCAATGCTGGAAAATAAATTTTTGAATAACTGTATATCGCGAGATATATTGATATATGGAGAGATATTGTTGTTTAGAAAAATATGAAAGTGACCCTGCACTAGCACCTGCGTCCAACAACCATGTCAAAGAATTACTGCTGCGATCGCTTGATTACGTCATTTTGTTCTGTATTATTGGCGGTTCTTTTTTACGCTCCTCCTGCCTCTTAATCTAATCAGCGACGACCATCGTTGCGAACAATCGTCACATCACAAAGAATTTGATAACGTGTTCAAATTTGCTTTCACACTGTAATCGCCCCTCACTTTCTCCCTTAGGAATTTCCGTGGCTAGAGTTTTAACACCTTCTTACATATTCTTTTGCTTTTCTTAATATTATCGTCGCCGCCACTGTCTTTATTCTTCTGTTGCGCCCCGCATCGCTTCTCGATCTTAAGGTTACTGTAGAAACATCTTATTTTATTCTTAAATTGTGTGATTTTGTTCTTTTGTGAAATTACTTCGTGTGAGAGATGTGACACCGAAAGAAACGATGAACAAAACGGAAGGCCGTGCCCAGAGACGCCCAAAGCCCTGCATACAGAATTCAAGCATAACAGCGTAAAATGGAGCAAATAATGTTATTATATTCGCCAAATATTCTATATAACTTTGTTCAATTTTATCTAGAGCTTTGTAATCTTAATCTGTCTATTACAATTAGAAATAACGAAAAATTCTTTCTCACATAAAAAGATTTTATATAAACAATTTATAAAGAAACTTATAAAATTAATATTTATTAGTATAGTCTTGTTCCATTTTGCGATATAAATTTTGATTTATTTAAACAAATACAATAAAAATACGGAACGAGCCACGTCTCGTTCCGGCATCAGCGTGAAAATCGGCAGTTTTTATCTTTTTGTTTCAGATGGTACAAATTCATCGAGGGTACATCAAGGCGTCAGCCGGTCCAACTGAATGAGCGCGTACGACAAGTTAGCGGCACTTTGATCATCCGTGAGGCTCGAGTTGAAGATTCCGGCAAATATCTCTGCATCGTCAACAATTCTGTCGGCGGCGAGAGCGTGGAAACCGTTTTAACTGTTACGGCACCGCTGACCGCGGAGATCGAACCGAGCACGCAAACCATCGATTTTGGAAGACCCGCGACCTTCACCTGCACCGTTCAAGGCAATCCGATCAAGACCATCTCCTGGCTCAAGGATGGAAAGCCTCTTGGATTGGAAGATCGCGTACTGAGGATCGAGAGCGTAAAGAAGGAAGATAAGGGAATGTACCAATGCTTTGTTAGAAATGACCAAGAAAGCGCGCAAGCAACAGCAGAACTAAAACTTGGTGGAAGATGTGAGTTAAACTTTTATCATATTTTCCTCCAAACTGAATTTGTAATAAACATTTTTTACTAATCAAAAATGTTAATTTTGCACGATAAACTGATTGAATGTATTTACGATTAATTTATATTAATATTAATTTTATAAAGAGATTTCATAAGTTATAATGAAAACATTCTGTTAATAATTATTATAATTTACGTTAAAATAAATACATTTGTGAACAAATATGAAATCATTAGAAAAATTCTTTGGTATTGCGAATATGAGAGGTAACGCTATGATTGTCAACGGGATTACCTTTTTATCTCTTTGGTTTTGACAGTTGAACCCCCGCAGATCCGTCAAGCTTTCGCCGAAGAGACTCTCCAGCCCGGACCGAGTATGTTTTTGAAATGTGTTGCCAGCGGAAATCCTACCCCCGAAATTACCTGGGAACTTGATGGAAAACGGCTGTCGAATACCGAGAGACTGCAAGTAGGACAATACGTCACGGTCAATGGTGATGTCGTGTCGCATCTGAATATTTCCAGCATTCATACCAATGATGGTGGACTCTACAAGTGCATTGCTGCATCAAAGGTTGGTCCTCTTGTTTTTTATATTTTTTTATAAAATTGTATTGAAATTTAATTTTTTTTATTTTAGTTTTAGATTTAATTATTAATTTGGTTAATTTAATTATTAGTAGTCTTGATTTAATTTGATTATTAATAAATCAGTAAATATTTACATTATACATAAAACTTTATGTATATATTTTTTAGTCAAAAATGTTTTGATAAATTCAAGTGTTCTGAGAGTAATTTTATTTCTCAATAAAATATGCAACGCGTAATTTTATCACAGGTTGGAGCTGCTGAGCATTCTGCCCGTCTCAACGTTTATGGTTTGCCATTTATTCGCCACATGGATAAAAAGGCCATCGTTGCTGGGGAAACTCTGCGCGTCACTTGCCCTGTTGCTGGATATCCGATTGAAAGCATCGTCTGGGAACGAGACACCAGAGTTCTACCGATCAATAGAAAGCAAAAGGTTTTCCCTAATGGCACACTCATCATCGAGAATGTTGAACGAATGAGCGATCAAGCGACCTATACTTGCGTAGCACGCAATGCACAAGGCTACAGCGCACGTGGAACACTAGAAGTTCAAGTCATGGGTAAGTTTAATATTTTGTTTTCCTAGCATTTCTTCGCGTAATATAAGATTTAAATTTTACAAAAAATATTAATTGTATTTTACTCAGAGCATTGCAAAAATTAGTAATACTTTAAAAGTTGAATAATTTTTGATATTTTTTTTTAAATCTAATGAAAAATTTCATTTAATATTATGATGATAATTTTAAATATAACAGAATATTCGTACATTAAAGAAAAGTTCATTCTGTACCGTTAATATGACAATCCTAATTATCCTATTTAACATAAACAATATAAATAATGTGATACAGAGCTGTAATTAATGTTCTATTTAGCAGTTAATTTTTAATTAATTGAAATAATGTATTTCTCAATAATTTCGAAAACAAAAAATATATTTACACTTGCAATCATCGCCAACAGACTGATCAATCAATAGGATAAAAATAACTTTTAACTGTGATAATAGTAGGATAGCAAACGTTTATTTGCAGCTATTCTCTTTGCAGCGGATTGTCGTGTCTGTTACATAGCCGCCATTAAACTTTATTATGTCGCACATCTCATATTGATTGTGATACCGAGCCGGAGGTATTGGCGAATTGTTTATTGAGGGTGTCGTTCACGCATATAGGAAACGTATCGTAAATTCCAAAGGATACGACTGTACGTAGGACACGGGCACGGACTCGGAAACACATACGGACGATATCGTTGCTGACGTTACGACCATTTAATAACGTAGAACGTAGAACGAACGTACGTCGAATCAGAGAAAGGACACGCATTTGTGGAAAGTTTGAGAGTTGGTATGGCGGTGGCCGATCGAATCGTTAGTAAGAAAACTCAGACGTGCTTGTTTTCAATTCAGAGCTCTCTTCATCCATCGCGCATAATAAAAAATGCCATGCGTCCGTGTGTGTTATAGGCATTGACTTTACGCTAAGATATCAAGTTTTCTCGCGGTGTTAAATATCGAATCTGTATCTATATCTAGAAAAGAATCAAATTTTAGAGTTTCGTTAATTCGAGAAAAAAAATCTTCAACGCATAGTTCCACTGTTGCCCGAGGTGTAACATGTCTATGATATCCACGAGCGTGGCACATGGCGCGGGATGCGTATAATCGTATATACATCCATACATCGCTCCTCCATCCTCAGTGCCGCCGGTCGTTCAGGAGTTCGCGTTTACGAAGCTACCGATGAACGCTGGGGAGTTTGCGAATCTGCAGTGTATCGTGCCAAGCGGCGATCTACCATTGAACATACGTTGGAGCTATCCCGGAGAAGAGATGGGCGGTTCTTCCGGCGTACTCGCGAAGAAGGTCGCGGATCGCGTTAGCATGCTCATGATCTCGATCATCACCGCGAGACACGCGGGGGAGTACGTTTGTACCGCCGAAAACGCGGCTGGAACGGCGTCCCACTCGACCGTCCTCACCGTCAATGGTTCGGGATCTGTTCCTAGAGAACACAGTCTTTTTCATTCTTCAGTTGCGTTTTATCACCTTCTATCTTATCCCTTGCACAGACCCTGCAAACAGCACCACATAGTTGTTCCCTCATTTGTCACACCTTTTCCGCGTCGATGTTGTTGAATCCTCTGCCTATTTGGATCCACCGGAAGCTTTGATTGAGCGATCATTGACGGATAGTTGATTAACGCACAGGTGTCTGCTAGAGTCACCGAGAATAATCCATGATTTTGCAGACGCCGCTGCATCTTTTTCACAGTAATGAAGCATGATCGTATGTTTAATGACACTTGATAGTCGGGCCGCAGCTTCTACCAATCGCTTTTAATGCCGAAATCGCCAATTGGGGAGACTCCGTGTCCGTGCCCTGCTCGATCTTGAAGGGCGACATGCCTATGGAGATATCGTGGTCGTTTAACGGCATACCCATCGACACGTCAAAAGACACGGGTATCACGATCACCAGAATCAGCAAGCATTTGAGCACCCTAAGCATCGACGGCGTTTCGGCACGCCATGCTGGAGAGTACGCCTGTTCCGCGTCGAATCTAGCTGGTTCCGTCAGTCGATCGACAACTCTGACCGTCAACGGTACGATTTCCAATCCCCTTTCGTCACAATAGACTTGCTGTACATAATTATCGATATGAATCTGAAGTATCATCCCCATCCATCAAGCCCGTCACCATCCTTGCTGTAAAATATTTCTTGACAAAACAAGATATATATTCCACCGCCGTACCAATCTCATCTAATGGTCCACGTCGCGTTTGACTGAACAATCCTGAGACGGATATCATAATCGAGACACGTAAAATTGTCTTGAAATTACGCGATCAGGGATACGTCCCCGATACGTCGCATCATGAACCGACACTTGCTCTTTCTTGTCTCGTTTCTCCCAGTCGCTCTTTCCAGTTGCCCCGCAAATACTGCCTTTCGCTTTCGGGGATGAGCCAGCCAGCTGGGGCGAGCTGGTCTCCGTTACCTGTTCCGTCACGAAGGGCGATCAGCCTATCGAAATAACTTGGGCTTTCAATGGAACGCCAATCAACAGTCGCGACTCCGATATAGTAATAGGCAGCACGAATCGAAAGAACAGCGTTTTAACTATCGAATCAGTCGCGGCCAGACACGCCGGCGATTATACCTGTACTGCGTCCAATCGCGTTGGTGCCACGACACATACGGCTCATCTGGCTGTAAACGGTATATACAATCGATTCTCACGGAAGAAATGAATGTTTGCCCGATCTTTGTCATGCATCATCTTTCTCGACCAAACGATCGATTGCCATAGCTGATTATCACTAAACATGTACAAACACGAATATGCAAACTTTCCTTTACACACCTGTAATTGATTAATATTATTTTCTGTTATGATTGTTACTAACAATATTAAAATTTAATTGAAATTTATATTTTTTTCTTTTTGTTATTATTTTAATTCCTTTTCATATTTTTTATTTTCTTTATTTTTATTAATAAAAGTGCGCAAGAAAATTTTTGATTCATATAACATTCACTTGTACACACAATTATATTATTATTATTTATCCTTTCACCGACCATATTTTCTGTCTCTCTCTCTTTCTCATTACACCCTCCCGTCTGTGCCGCCGTGTCGTTCACGCAGTCGCGCCACAGATCCTTCAATTTTCCTTCGGCGATGATCCTCTCAACTCCGGCGAGATGCTGTCGGTTTCTTGCACGATCGTCAAGGGCGACTTCCCCGTAAAATTGATGTGGACGTTCGACGACATCCCGATCGACTCGAGTCGGCCGGACGTTAATATCGTGACCAATAAGAGGGTCAGCTTCTTGAGCATCGACAGCGTGGCGGCAAGACATGCTGGAAGATACAAATGTACTGCGACCAATGCCGCCGGATCCGACAGTCACACCGCTGTACTCTCGGTGAACGGTACCGCGCTCGTATATGTAAAAAGAAACTTACACCTGTATATATACACAATTTTGTTATCCTTTTGTAACTTTTTGTATCTACGCAATAATATATCAATTGAGTAATCACCGCTCTCGCGCTCACTGTCGTCGTCAAGACAATAATCCTGCGTAACGTAAAGTGCTCCTAGCAGGATTATCGTTGAAAACGATAGTATACGGTTCATCCCGCAGTAACAGCGAAACGATGGTCCGTGTATTCTTTCTTTTTCTTTATCTTTTTTTTTATTTGAGTCTTTTCCCGTATCGCTTTACAATGTATCGTTGTTCGATGTCCTCTCTTGAAGACACCGCTCCTTGTTCCTCCCCGTTTTCCCTTTGAAAATTCAGAAATGCTATTTTGTGACAATCGTCCAATTTGATTCTGAGTTTGGTTCGGCCACGTTTCCCGTTACCTTGCCGCGAGTGTCCGGGTACGGTGCCACTCCGGAAGCTCCCACGTGTGATTCACGAGTGTGCCTTTCGCGGTTGCAGTCGCGCCGCAACTGGCGCCCTTCACCTTCGGTGATGAAGCTGCCAATGCGGGAGAGATGGCAACTGTTCAGTGCGCCGTGATAAAAGGCGACCTGCCCATCGACATAATCTGGTCGTTTAACGAGCGTGTGATCGACATCGCGAATGGCGCATTCGACGAGCACAATTACGACAATCCCGACATAGTGATAAGCAGGAGTAGCAAACGGGCCAGTCAACTGACGATCGAATCGGTAGCCGCAAGACACGCGGGCGAGTACTCGTGCACTGCGAGCAACACGGCCGGAACCGCTACCCACTCTTCGATTCTTTCGGTGAACGGTATGCTTGTCCAGTTTGACTCAATGACGGTTGGGTGGTTGGTTGGACGCGCACGAAACACCGGGCTGTGCTTCTCTTAGTGCTTTATAATATCTAGAAAAAATTAGTGTACGATAATATGCCGTAGATATAATTGAAAATCGATCGCGATATACTTGAGTTTTAGAAAATGTAATATTAACGAAATAACAGTTTTATTTCTTGAATTTATTTCTATTGAACTTTTTGCATCGGCAAGCTTTCAAGCCTAATCGCATCTCAAAGAAGAATTGTGAAGGACTTGAAAAAAAGATCAAAATTTTTATCAATTTACACTTTTGAGCTCTTTTTCATCGTTTCGCTTATTCTGCTTCCGGTTCAATGTGAAGTAGCATTTTTGTGATCTTGACAGTACCACCGCGCATTGCCCCTTTCGAAATGGCCGACAAGGCGGTGAATTGGGGTGACTCTGTCTCGGCGGTCTGCACGGTGGTTAACGGAGATTCCCCGTTAGAAATCACGTGGGCGTTAAATGGAATGCCTATCGAGGAGAATAATCGAATATCCGTGACCACTACCAAGAGGAACAGTCTGCTGTCCATAGATTCTGCAAGTCCGAGTCACGCGGGCATTTACACTTGTGTTGCCTCCAATGCTGCCGGCGCAATCACTTATTCCGCAGAATTGACAGTCAACGGTATCTACGATAATCGTTAGAAAAGAATGTTGGCCTTGGAATTGCTCTTCCCTTCTATTATCCTCTATTTTCCTTTTCTTCCTCAGTCGAATCTCGCGTGCAAGTGAACGTTTAAGAAAAAGAGCAATGACAATAACGGCAGCTGTTCATGTTTTTTCTTCTAAATTTTTCTCTACTACCGCATTGTTATGTCGAGGTAATTACAAGAAGATGAACGGTTTACACAGAAAAAAAGAGAGGGGGGAAGAGAAACACGTAGAACTCGTTGCAGTTGCACCGCAAATCGCACCGTTTGCTATCGCCGAGGAACCAGCCAACTGGGGCGATTCCATTTCCGTGGTGTGCGCCATCCTCAAGGGTGACTTGCCGATCGAGATCACGTGGGCGTTGAACGGCGAGCCGATCCGGCCAGATCGTTCAGACATTAATATCTTGGCGACGACGCGGAAGAATAGCATTCTCAGCATCGAGTCCGTAGCCGCGAGGCACGCAGGAGAATATACGTGCTCCGCATCGAATAAAGCTGGAGCAACCAGTTATTCAGCGACTTTAGCCGTGAACGGTACATCACATCCGAGAGATCCCCTACACATTTGTCCTCCGCTTTCCGCCATCATCCATTACCCATCATTATTGCCCCCTCCAAAATTGTCGTCGATGGTCAATTACGGTCTTCAAGACGTTCAAAAACATGTTATTATACTCGTAGTTGTCGATGTTAACAGTAGTAAATTAGTCGCTACACGATCGACCGTTTGTCCAATTTAGTCGCTCCGGATATTGCACCTTTCGTACTCAGCGAGAAACCAGCGAATTGGGGAGAGACAGTCACTGCGACATGCACCATTTTGAAAGGGGATCAACCGATACAGATCGAGTGGGCGCTCAACGGCCAGCCGATCTCTCACGATTTTTCCGATATAACAATCGTCACTAGCAAACGTGTCAGTCTGCTCACGATTGACGCCGTTACGGCTAGCCACGCCGGGGAATACACTTGCGTGGCTACTAATACTGCCGGTGGAACGAGCTATTCCGCTTCCTTAGCTGTCAATGGTACCACATGACGTTCTTCGAAGTTTTTATTAATTACTACAGTGCATGTATGAGTCATCCACTATGTAGTTTGACACTAATACTACTCACACATTCAATCCCAAGAGGTCCTCATGTTCCTTCTAATGAAAGTGACAGGCTGCTGCTCGTGGCGTTGCAAGATTGCAAGAGAGAGAGATTCAAGTATATGATTATAGATTTTATTATCTATACAATTATATTAAATTTGACCGGGCGTATATGGATTTAAAAAAGAATCGCACTTTAAGTTTGCTGAAAATAGAAGAATAGGTCTATAATTAAGACACGTCCTTAGTTGCTCCGGAAATCATGCCGTTCGTAATCGGCGAGGAACCGGCGAATTGGGGTGACACCATTACCGTAACTTGCACGGTGTTGAAGGGCGATCACCCGATTCAGATCGACTGGGCACTCAACGGCGAGCCAATTTCTCGAGATCATCCCGACATATCAATAGTTAGTACCGGCAAACGTGTCAGTCTGCTTACGATCGATGCCGTGACGGCGCACCACGCCGGAGAATACACTTGCACGGCTAGCAACGTTGCTGGTGGAACGAGTTATTCCGCATCACTGGCCGTGAACGGTATAAAGATCTTCCCACGTCTTATGTTTCGCGTAGCTTTTCTCATCTCACCCTATCGTGCATGTACAGAGCGGTTTATTCACTCTCCTGAATTCCTCCAATTCCTTTCTTTCGTGCGAAAGCGCGAGAAAAATATTACCTATTTGATGCTGAAAAATCTCGTCGATATTCTTTTTATCCCATTTTAGTGTATATTAGGAATTTCCGATGCGTCGTTGAAAGAACTGATTCTACAAAGTACAAGATCGTATTGTCGCTATCTGCTAATTTATTAATTATAGGTTTAATAACTGTTCTTTGTTATTTTAGATAAACTGAACTCTAACAGTTGTGAAATTGATCTTTGATTATTTGTTATAATATTATTTGTTATAATATTATAGTTGCGCCGCACATAGGGCCTTTCGCGATCAGTGATGGACCGGCAAATTGGGGCGACATGGTTTCGGCGACGTGTTCCATTATGAAAGGCGATTTTCCCGTAAAAATCGTTTGGACGTTTAACGACAAACCAATTACTCTGCATGACACGGATATCACAATCACAAATATAAATAAACATATGAGTGCTCTCAGCATCGAATCCGTAGCCGCGAGGCACGCGGGCGAGTACACGTGCATAGCTACGAACAGAGCCGGCAACGTCAGCCATTCGACCACCCTCGTCGTCAACGGTACCTACACATCTCCAGAGAAGCACCCACATGCACGTCAGCTAAGCATCGTATAGCACTTGCCTAATCCGTCACTGCGATTCATAATTCATCATAAACCTGCATTATCTTAATCTTACGATACGACACCTAATTTCCTAATCGCCGTGATCGCTCCCGACAACCGTCTTGCGAAAAGAACCGTAAAGATCGTAAGAATCGCGAGAGGATTTCGTCCTCGACATTGGTGGTATTTACTGAGCTTCTCACGTACGATCCGCGATCGCAGTTGCTCCGCAGATCTTCCCGTTCACATTCGGCGACGAGCCGGTAAACTCGGGCGAGGCGATCTCTGCGACCTGCTCTATTCTCAAGGGGGACTTCCCGATGGACATTGCTTGGGCGTTCAACGGCGAGCCGATTTCCGCCGAGAGTACAGATCAGTTCTCTATCACGAAGGGCAAACGTCTCAGCGTTCTGTCGATCGATGCTGTCGCGGCTAGACACGCCGGCGAATACACTTGCACCGCGTCGAACAAAGCCGGAGCCTCCAGCCATACGGCCGCTCTAGCCGTGAACGGTAACACCGCGCGCATGTATATACAGCATATACGCGACAACGTCTCTCGACTATTCTTCCTTCGCCAGGCGAAGACAAAACCGTCCCTCCTTTTCATTCCCCTTCAACCTCTTCACTCGCGCTCATGATCTTTTCAACATTCCCTTATGCCTCGTCGAATGCGAGGGGGAGTACGATGAGAACGCGTCTGTCTGTCGTCTGGCTTTATCGCGCACCTCGCAGTGACCGCGAAGATTCTGCGCCTCGCTCTCTTATCACTACGTTGACGCTTACAGCACAAATGAATTTGTTATGAATTTCCTTAATGCATATGCTGAGACCATTTTTATATTTTTTTCAGACTTTTTCAGACTATTATTTATCGTATTATATTATTTGTATGAGAGAAAGTAACAAAATAAATATAGCAAACGGAGTATAGGAGAATATAGGAGAGTGTAAAATGATAATAAAACAGAGATAGGTCTGTAAATAATATCATTGAAGGAATATCTTTTTATTTAGCATCCTCCAGTGATATGGAGTATTTTTATAATGGCTTTTTTCACCTTCTGGTACAGTTATCGGCAGTCAGGTGTTCAATCCTGATAGGTTTTTGTGAATGGTTATGTCATACTTTGGAAAATCGTTTTCAGTCGCTCCGCAGATAGCACCGTTCTCGATCAGTGACGAGCCCGCGAATTGGGGCGAAGCGGTCTCGGCGGTCTGCACAATCGTGAAGGGAGACCTGCCCATCGAAGTATCGTGGGCACTAAACGGCGAACCTATCACCAAGGAGAATTACGGAGATATATCAATATCGAGTACCAGCAAACGAGTCAGTGTAATGACTATCGAGGCCGCGAGCCCGAGACACGCCGGAGAATACACTTGCACGGCCTCGAACGCTGCCGGAGCGACGAGTTACTCCGCCACTTTGGCTGTGAACGGTACTAGAGTTGCATGAAGTGAAGTGTCTCGTTGTGATCGAGGGATCGAGCTTGGAATTTTGCTTGCAAGCATATTTAGATGAAACTTTTCTTCTATCTTCGCGTAACAGCGATGACCCCTAAAACCGTTCCCTTGCGTGAGGTATAATTGGCAATCGAAACTATGCCAACGAAACATTAAATTCAAAGATATGTATCTAAAATTTTAAAAAATCTATAGAAATGTTACAAATGAATTATATTTTCAATAATATGTATATAATTTCACGATACTGATCGATTACGAAAAAAAGATTTATACTTATTTTACATATACAATTATGTTGATCATTTTTTTGCGATTGTTTTCAGTCGCTCCGCAAATCGCTCCATTTTCTATCAGTGAAGAACCAGCTAATTGGGGCGAGCAAATCTCCGCAGTGTGTAGCATTTTGAAGGGTGATCTACCGATCGAAATACGGTGGAGCCTCAACGGCGAAATTATTACGCGTCTCACGCATCCGGATGTAATAATTACGAATACCGGAAAAAAGACATCTCTCCTAACCATTGAATCTGTGACTGCCCGTCATGCTGGCGAATATAGCTGTGTTGCGAGCAATCTAGTCGGATCCGTCAGCCGTTCCGCCATTTTGTCGGTCAATGGTATTACAAAAAAGCCGCATGTCAAAAAGTAGTATCAATACTCTATCCCGCCAAATATTTCGAAATCAATCCTTCCTACCAAGTATAATTCGCTAAAATTATTAGGGATAACAGACTCTGTCCATTCACGAAAATCCTAAATTACCTTCAATTTTTATTCCTCTCAATTTTCTTACATTTTACGCAGATTCAAGCAAAAATCGCAAAAATAGTTGGTTCGTCACATTTTCGAATTTTCAAGGCTAAATTCAAGTCCCGTACTCAAGGAAATGACCGCCTGTTCGCAAGGAAATTATACGCGATTTTTTCACCTTTCTCGAGTCGAGAATATTTTATCTTTTTATTCGTATCGCAGTCTCCCCACAGATAGCGCCGATCTCCTTCGGTGAGACACCCGTTAACGCCGGAGACTTGGTGTCGGAGCAATGCGTGGTGACCAAAGGCGATTTCCCTCTGGAAATAACATGGACTTTCAATGGTCGTCCCATACAATCGTCGTATCACGGCGACGTGATCGTGTCCGATACCGGAAAGCGTGTCAAACAACTGACCATCGAATCAGTAGCTGCGCGACATGCCGGAGAGTATACCTGCGTTGCTTCAAACGCAGCTGGATCGGTCTCCCATTCAGCCACCTTGGACGTGAATGGTACACCTTTCGACAAGTCTATGGTCGCGATTCGCATTTCTGTATTTAGCCAAAAGTCTTTCGTCCAAATTTATTCCTGATTTACCCAGCCCCTCTGATATTTCCCACTCGAATCTCTCGAGACCTTGTTCCCATTTTATATTTTTATCCCGTCGTTATTTTTCTCTGAGTTTCTCCGGATCTTCGCTTTTCATATTATTCGTAGCACGACATGTGTCTGTGTTCTCTAGAGCCCGTCACTGTCACTTTAGTCATCGAATGCTGTTTATTGAACGTGATTTTTTTTTTTAATTCTTTGAAATACGCCTGTTTTTTCTTTTGATTTTATTATTGATTAGCATCGCGGGACATACAATACAATACAAATAGCGTTATACAATACAAGAACGACACGCTCGCTGTAATAGAATTTTAAAGCGGAAGCAAGAAGAAACGAAGAGAGAACGAAAGAAGCGAAGAACGATTCGCGAGATTACGACTTCCTGTCATCAGCCTAATAATCGTACTTCGCCTGCGCTAATCTGGGTTTCAAGATTCTTTCTCTTCTTTTCTGATCTCTTTCTCTTTCTCTCTTCCAGTCATTCCAAAATTATTGCCATTCTCGTTTGGCGAGGAGCCGCTTAACTCGGGTCAAGTAGTAACGGTACCGTGCGCAGTGGTCGAGGGCGATCCACCCTTGCAGCTTCGTTGGACCTTAAACGGTCATGCGATCTCGCCGCACTCCGGAATCTCGATCGTGGATCTGGGCGGACGTGGCGCCATACTGAGCATAGGATCCGTCCAGGCGACTCATGCTGGAACATACACGTGTGTCGCGGAAAACCTTGCCGGCAGACACGAGCTCTCGGCCGATCTCATTGTGAACGGTGCATACTGAGCCGCAAGAATCTACCCGATATTTCGTTGAATCCTGCAAATTTCCATTTTCCCTTCCCTTCCTCCCAACCGCGCAGCTTTACCCGCCATCCCAGACCCGTCGCTTCTTCTCTCGTAGACACTCATTTTATCAAAATCGATTTCCGCTCAAATATCCGTCGCGCTTTTACCGATTCTTGTGCAATAAAGTTTAAATTGCGATCGCCATTTTTTGTGGATGCGGTCAGATACGACAGCAGGCTGCTACGATTACGGGAACCTGGCTAATCACGCCTCAAGATATCACGCATCTTAAATCTCGCGCGGCGTAGATTCGCCTCGATAAGCGGGATGTTCATTCTCGCTCGCATGTCTCTTTCTCTTTCTTTGTCTATTATTGCCTGTTCTCTCTAGTTTCTATCCGTTTCTCTATCTCCCGGCAGTCGCTCCACATCTGCAGCCGTTCGCGTTCGACGAGGCCAACTCCGGCGATCTGATAATCGTCCATTGCGCGGTCGTGAAAGGGGACACGCCGATTTCGCTCAAGTGGTTGTTCGAGGGCCGCCATTTAGAAGTAGGCGACGGAGTGGGTATCACCGCGTTGGGGGATAGAGTCTCAGCCCTGACGATACCCGCTGTCAGGGGGGAGCACGCCGGAGAGTATGCTTGCGTCGCCGATAATCCAGCGGGCAGTGCTCGGCACAGCGCCCATCTGAAAGTGAACGGTACAGAAAAAACGACACACGATCACAAAAGCATCCAGTAAAACAGAGAACAAATTAAAAAAAAAAAAGTATATATATATATATATATGTATATATACATATATTTTCTTTGACACAAAGCAAAACCGCGTGGCATGATGATGGTGTTTAACGGGCGTACGCGTAGTAAGAGTACTACCATTTTGTATGCGTGTAACTATTTGAGCGGGAAGCAGTGGTACGTTCATCCTTTTATTCGGTTGTAGATTTTTATATATATTTATCTATCAGTAGAGCGTTTCAATATATTAGATTTATAACCCTTGCTGTCGCTTCACATACATCGTAAAATCTCCAATTTATCTGTCCTATCTGTTGCGATGACATTATTAGGAGATATGTGTGTCTGGAAATCTGCATTGCTCGACGTTTACTCCTTCCTCCTGTGTCTATAGAGAATTATCTTCCATTTAACGAGGTTAAATCGTTTAACTGATTCGTATAGGCGAGAGTAGTTTGTGCCCACGACTGTTTGAATCGAATACGAAGCGTCGATTACTACGAGACGAGCCATGTCTCCTGTTCTCTCCCGGCCCAGAACTGTCTCTCACATTCTCTGCCACGTTTCTCTGTCACTCCGCATCCCTTCTCTCATCTCGATAGCTCGATTACCAAAGTGTATCCAGTCGAAGGGACTGCCAGTCTCGATTAATCCATGTAATTACTTTAGTGCCATTGATTATTTACAAATTGTCGCGACGTGCTATTTACGAGGAACAACGGCACGCTGAATACGACGAGAAAAAGCAACGTTAGATTCTTGAATAGAAGAGCGTACATTACGAACAACGAAAAAAAAAAAAACAAAAAAAAACGAACACAGATAATGACAGAGGTGAACGACACGGTCGTTCGTATCGATCGCGAACTGGAAATGAGGATCGTTACGAGAGCATCGATCTACCTGCCGTTCCGTTGCAGTCCTGCCACGGATCAGTCCGTTCGATTTTGGAGACCAACCGATTTATGCCGGGCAGGCCGCCCAATTGGCGTGCATGGTGCCGATAGGCGACACGCCGATCGAGATCGCCTGGACTCACGAAGGCGAACCGTTGTCGCAGTTCAGGGGATACAGCGTCGGGAAACTCGGCCCACGGACGAGTATACTACTGATTGAGCCGGTAACACCGGAGCACGGCGGACGTTACGCGTGTGTCGCTAGTAATCCGTCAGGCAGAGCGATCTACGAGGCAACCTTACGAGTTCACGGTTAAGTCCAGAGTAAAAAAAAACGGAGCACTGGGAATGACATGACGTTGATAATGATGGTTGAGCGAAGTTTTTCGGAATGATAAAAAAAAAAAAACGTGGCCGCGCAAGGTCCCACGCGTATTTAAGTACAGGCTTGATTGGTTGCATCTTATTCATCGTTGCTGTGACGCTGATCGTATGTTTTTCCCCTGTTGGCGAAAGCTTTCTGGAATTTCAGTTGGTTTTCGGAGCTCGCGTTCAATCCATATTGTACAAAGCGTTGCTTTTGTCGCCGGTGACGACCTTTTCGCGCGTACATTCTTTCTACTGCTGTCTTGCCACTTTCTTTTCACACTTTCTCTGTTTCTCTCTCTCTCTCTCTCTCTCTCTCTCTCTCTCTCTCTCTCTCTTTCTCTCTCTCTCTCTCTCTGTTTCTATCTACTTCTCACTGCTGTAATTTCCTCTTTAATATGTATCTGCGATCTTTTAAGCGAGTGAACGAGCAAGACCAATCCGAACTCCTTCGTGCTCTAAGAATCAATAGCTTTTACCGAGCCATTGACCTTTTCTCGTTTATTTTGCCGCCTCGTTATCGTGTTCTCATCGTCAGATGCTCTTCTGCGACTTTTTTGCGCTAGCTTCGATCATCCCTGCGGCGAAGTAACGCGACGCTCAGGATGTACCTTCCTTTCTCACGCGCGAATCTCATCGCGTTTCTACATCCTTCGCAAATGCGTTCGCCATTTCCCGTAGCACAGTCGATCTAAATGTCACTTTGCGATCGCAGGATTGCGTAGGTCTCACATGCAAGCTGCATATTATCCGTCTTATGTACGTTCGAGTGTCGATTTATACCTCACCGTACCCCCCCATTCGCGCTAAAACGCGTCCTTGTATTAAGATGACCGACCGACCATCCAACCATATATCAGAATTCGCCCCCCATGAATTCATCATAGCCCCGTATCCATGAATGAATTTCCCCCTGAACACGCCCCCTCCTCACCCCCTCACCGCCTCATCACACATCTTGCCTTGTTCATTTTGTAGAACGCGTACGTAGTGTAGTAGATATTTAATATGCATGCATATTTATACATGAACGAGCGTAATCGAGTATTATTCGTAAACGCGGTACAGCATGATGCACCGTGCTCGAGTACAAATTCGATAGCGCTTCGTGCATGCCCGCCGTTGAGCTCTTTCAGAGCTGAATTCGTAGTCTCTCTCTTCGCATGCGTCTCTCCTCTATCTCTCTTTCACTTTCTATCTCTCTGTTCCATGCATTAGATACCCGCATAATCATTTCAATCTCCCGCATGCAGTACATTCTATTCATCGCGGTAGCAGGAGCGTGTCGCATTTTTTCTGCATGCAATGAAATTATCATAAATTAATTCGAGTCCTCAGTAATTTTAATAATATTAAAGATATTTAATCTATAATTGCTAATCGATAATTTTATTAACTTGTTTAAACATAAATAAATATTTTTAATTAGAATGAAAATTAAAAGCTTATTTTATTGAATCTGTTCTTATTATTATTATTATTTTAGAGTTCATGAAATTTAAAGAAATTTAAAGAAAGAAATATAATTATTCATTGGTATAACAATTACATTCAATTACAATTTATATAATAATTTTATTTTGCGAAATAAGAAGTTGTCCAAGATTTTTGAAAAGTGGACGACTCGAGTTTTTAAGCGACTGGCTCCTGGGTACTGCACAATTTCATGTGCGCAAAAGTGCATTGCAACTAATCAATTTATCCTGTAACAGTACCTCCTCGTTGGATCCTGGAACCTACCGATAAGGCATTTGCTCAAGGATCCGATGCACGAGTGGAATGCAAAGCCGATGGATTCCCCAAGCCTCAAGTCACATGGAAGAGAGCTGCTGGTAAGAACATTTGCAACCTTAGTATAATAGATAAGAAACTTTTTGTTTGTGTGAATAATTACATACATCTATTCTATTTTACAGGGGATACTCCGGGAGATTATACTGACTTGAAATTAAGCAATCCTGATATTAGCGTGGAAGATGGCACTCTCTCTATTAATAATATACAAAAAACGAACGAAGGCTATTATCTTTGCGAGGCTGTTAATGGCATTGGATCAGGTTTATCAGCTGTCATCCTCATTTCGGTTCAAGGTATTTCATATTTTATCATCTGGTATTATGTCGTAGTTTCTATCGCGTTTTATACATTGCTTGTATTGCTCTTTTGTAATATCTTTTTAGCTCCTCCGCAATTCGAAATTAAACTGAGAAACCAGACCGCTCGTCGTGGAGAACCAGCTGTATTGCAATGCGAGGCACAAGGAGAGAAACCAATTGGTATTTTATGGAACATGAATAACAAGAGACTAGACACAAAGAGTGATCCTCGTTACACTATTCGGGAGGAAATTTTGGCTAATGGAGTATTGTCCGACTTGAGCATCAAACGAACCGAAAGGAGCGATTCTGCCTTATTCACTTGTGTAGCTACGAATGCCTTTGGTAGCGATGACACTAGCATTAACATGATCGTGCAAGGTTGATAATTATACGTTACATGTTATTTACAATATTCGACGAAGCTTTTAAAACACTGATTTAATTTATATGATTTTTTTTTATAGAGGTGCCGGAAGTTCCATATGGTCTCAAGGTATTGGATAAATCAGGACGTTCAGTGCAACTATCGTGGGCCGCACCTTATGATGGAAACAGCCCGATCAAGCGATACGTTATCGAATACAAAATCAGCAAGGGTTCCTGGGAAACTGATATTGACCGAGTGCTCGTACCTGGTTCGCAACAAAATGTGGCTGGAGTTTACAATCTAAGACCCGCAACCACTTACCACCTTCGAATCGTCGCTGAAAATGAAATTGGCACGTCTGATCCATCTGACACGGTCACCATTATTACCGCCGAGGAAGCTCCTACTGGTCCGCCAACTTCCGTCAAAGTAGATGCTGTCGATCAACATACACTCAAGGTAATGCCTTGAACAGTAACGTTGTAAATATTTCGAAATATATATATATATATATATATGATCAATATAAATTTTATCAGGTAACATGGAAACCGCCTCCACGTGAAGACTGGAACGGTGAGATTCTTGGTTACTACGTTGGATACAGACAATCGTCGGACAAACCGTACATGTTTGAGACTGTCGATTTCTCGAAGGAAGACTCTAAAGAACACCACTTGTCAATTGCGAATCTCAAGACTTATACTCAATATGGCGTAGTTGTTCAGGCATTCAACAAAGTTGGTTCTGGACCAATGAGCGAGGAACGTAGACAGCACACCGCGGAAGGCGTGCCCGAGCAACCACCTCATGACACTACCTGCACGACTCTTACCTCTCAGACTATTAGAGTATCCTGGGTATCGCCACCACTCAGTGCAGCTAACGGCGTTATCACCGGCTACAAAGTTAGTAAAAACGCGACTCAAGAAAGAGGCATAAAACCTTTTGCAGAAGCATCTTTAAATATTTGCTTTAGGTCATCTACGGACCATCTGACACATGGTATGATGAGAACACGAAGGATACCAAGATTACGTCTTCCAGCGAGACTATTTTACATGGCCTTAAGAAATACACGAACTATAGTATGCACGTTCTGGCTTTCACATCCGGCGGAGACGGTGTTAAATCCGCACCGATTCATTGCCAGACCGAACAAGATGGTAATTAAAAAACTATTCAACGAAAGCATGTTATTTCATATATATTATATTTTTCATGTTCTAACTTTAGCACCCGAAGCTCCCATCGCTATCAAAGCTCTGGTCATGTCTGCGGAATCCATTCTTATCTCATGGCGTCCACCTAGCCAACCTAACGGAGTTATTTCTCAGTATACCGTTTATACTAAAGCAGATAATGCAGAAGAACCAACAAGTCAAAAAGTAGCGCCGAATCAATTAACTCATGAAGCGTCTGGATTAGACAAGCAACTTAGATATGAATTTTGGGTAACTGCTAGCACAAACATCGGCGAAGGGGAAGCTTCTAAGATCGTAACTTTGGGGCCAAGCGTTCGAGGTAAAATTTTTTGTTTTTTAATTTATACGAAAAGTTTGCATTTTAAGTGAATTAAGTTAAATCGAATTGCTTTAATAGATTTCTTATTCTTAGAAATCAAAGAATGTTTCTAAGTTTTATATTTTATTACATACTTACAGTACCAGCTAAGATCGCATCATTCGATGACAAGTTCACCGCTACATACAAAGAGGACGTCAAGCTACCTTGTCTCACTGTCGGCGTACCTACACCAGAAGTAACATGGAAAGTACGAGGTGCTACTCTTCAACCAAGCGATCGATTGAGACAATTACCCGAGGGATCGTTATTCATCAAAGAAGTTGACCGTGCGGACGCAGGAGAATATTCTTGTTACGTAGAAAATTCTTTTGGACATGACACTGTAACTCATCAGCTGGTTGTACATGGTACGTAAATATTAAACCTATATATTTTATTAAATAATTTTAATTATCGTTTATATTAAGATTAAGTTATATTTTTTCAGCTCCCCCACACTCGCCTCAAGTCACTCTTACCGCTACTACTACCAATTCCTTGACAATGAAGTTGCGTCCTCATCCCACCGATAATGCACCGATTCATGGTTATACGATTCACTACAAACCCGAATTCGGTGATTGGGAAACTGTTCAGATTAGTTCCACGGCACAGAAATATACTCTCGAAAATCTGTGGTGCGGCTCTCGATATCAGATCTATGTCACAGCTTACAACGGGTAATTTTATTCGGAATAATAAGATAGTTTTTGTAATAAAATGAATTTATACAGAGGTGAATTTTTTGCAGAATTGGAATAGGCGATGCTTCGGACATTTTGAATACGCGCACAAAAGGCTCCAAACCGATCATTCCGGAAGCACAGAGATTTATCGAAGTATCCACGAATAGCATCTCATTGCACCTGAGTGCCTGGTCTGATGGTGGCTGTCCTATGTTGTACTTCGTTGTTGAACATAAGAAGAAGTAAGATGAAAAGATAATGACGAACATCCGGTCGATCAATCGAATTGATAGTTAAAGGCACGTGCTTCACATTTTTCAGGATGCAACAGGAATGGAATCAGGTCTCCAATAACGTAAAGCCAGGCGCTAATTTTGTAGTACTGGATCTGGATCCCGCTAGTTGGTATCATTTGCGTGTTACGGCTCATAATAATGCCGGTTTTGCCGTAGCCGAATACGAATTTGCGACTTTGACAGTGACTGGCGGTAAGTGTGGGTGCTTTGACGCGCAGCGGCGCCTCGTAGCCGGTGCCAATGGTGACTGGATTGAACGGTCGCCAAAACGTTTTCTGTTCCAGGCACCATTGCACCGGCCCGCGAGCTACCGGACGTGAACGGTGGTGGCAACGACGAAGACCCGATGAAAATTTTCATGGCTAACTTAAATCTGGTCGTGCCTGTGGTAGCAGCCATACTTGTTATAATCGTTGCCGTCATCGTGATCTGCGTTCTCAGGGGAAAGGGCCACGGTAGCGATAAAGGTAAAGAGATCTGTTTTAATCATCATACGTCCATTTCTCTCTTTGAACAGGCACGATCGCACCTCCCGTACGTAACGGCGGCAATGACAACAGCGGGGATGTGAGACGGTATTTCCCGTGGTTACCCAATTGGCTCGACGTAAACGTGGTAGTACCGGTCGGCGCAACGATTGTTGTCATAATAGTAGGAATAGTTGTCATTTGCGTGGCACTCTCGAGAAGAACTCGAGGCCCGGAACAAACACGGCTGCGAGGTATCTCTTCAGCCGACGAGAAATATTACGAGGGACAATGTATACAAATTTTTTTTAATTACTTTTACTTGTTAAGTCGCATAAAGACGGTGGAAGTTCGTCGGGAAATGAAACATAGTGATTTTTTGATCTTAATTAATTAGATAAAGTAAGTAAAAACATATCAAGAAAAAATCAATTTTTCTTTTTAGTAAACTATCGTAACATATTGTATTTTTTACAATACTGTACATCACAATAATTTCCTGACGATCAATCCACGCGTCGACCACCCTAGTCTTGAAAACCTCTTAAACATTCTAACTTCATAATTCTCTTCCTAGGTTTTCCTTTTATTTCACAAGCGTGGGTGATGGCATACATAATCAATACATCGATTATATTGAGACGTATGCGCATTCACATTTATTCAATTAAATGCCCTTATTTTAGATGACGTAGTCTATCAACAAACCGGAGTTGGCGGCGCTACCCTGGACAAACGCAGATCTGATCTTCGCGACGAACTGGGATATATTGCACCACCGAATCGCAAGCTTCCACCTGTACCCGGCTCGAATTACAACACCTGCGATCGTATCAAGCGAGGTACAGTTATAAGTAAGCCACAACTGCCAACACTTACCTTTTAGACCAATTTCAACTACTTGTCTAGTTGTTGTCGCATCGGCACGATAGTTCCTTCTTTCATCTTTTCTCAAGGGATACACATCGAGATTTGCACATACAACGTTAGGCTCCTAATGAAGTCAAACAGATCTCCAGACCAGACAAAACCCATACACACAATCATACATTGCCAGTTTCTTTTTTCGTTCGCCACGCTTCGAAATGTTCTGATATTTGTTACCGAGATCTATGTCCCTCCAGCGGAAATATAACGTTTGTTCCTACTGTTTGCGCTTACCACGCCGTTGGTGTCTAACGAGTATCAACTGTACTAATTCGCATATTAATTATGAAGGTCTTAAAATTAAAAAGAACGTCTCCCAAAAGTAAATTTAAATTTTCTAAAAAGAACAGGGTGGTTAGTTGGCGGTGACGAATCTTGATAGGCACCAGCGTGTCGTACGACCTTTGTAGTATGTGTTCGATAGGTGGAACTGGCTCGTTAAGGAGTCACTCGACGTGGGATCCGAGACGACACATGTATGAGGAATTGAGTCACTACGCGCCCAACAGGAGATGCCCACCGCCACCACGTATGGGCAGCGCAGATGGTCTTTCGCACAGAGGTTGGTAATAGCAATTTTGGTTAAGGGGGCATTTGCGGCATTGTCCGATCGCCCTACAAGACTGATAATCGCAGGCAACCGGAGCCGGCGATGTCGCTGGCTCGTCCCAGCCGGTCTTCGTAAGTCCCCCTTCGTTACGTGAACCTTATCACCTTAACGGCACGTCTCGTTTCTCAGTGTTTGCACGTTTTCGCATGCCTGCGCTCTTCCGCACGCCGACAAATAACACGAACAACATAGGAAGGAATTACTTCATTCACTTACTCATCGTCTTTTCTATGAAGGAAATCTTTTATGCCCGTTATCGTCATATTGATTTAGATTTTTAAAATAAATAAGATAATTGAAAATTTTTAAACATAAAATTCAATCGACTAATTAATTGAATGTAGTATTATTTTGTGTATAATAAAGATTACTAATAATTAATCGATAAGATGATTGAGCGTTAACTTAAGTTTATTTAAATATATTTTTAATATAAGCATGATCAAATCAAATTTAATGATTTAACATAGAATGAGAATCGAGGAAAGAAGAAACGTTAAAGTGAGTAAAAGAAAGTTCTTTGCTCGTTTAAATTTGAATAGAAAACGCATGTTAAATCAAGAAATAAAAAAGATTGCTTATAAATAATTTTTCTCAACTTTATTCTCGATCATGCTAAATTTAGAGATTGTTATAAAAAAACTTTACACGCGTGAAGCAATCTTTAAAGCATTTTTTATCGTCCAATAAATCATGTCTCGTAGATTTTCCGCCTATAGCGACAGAGTCTACCCTGGTTGATTATCCGTTTCTAGGTATGGAAGATGAGATTTGCCCCTATGCTACTTTCCATCTACTGGGATTCCGCGAGGAAATGGATCCGAGCAAAGCTATGCAATTCCAGACCTTCCCTCACCCAGGAAATGGCCATTCTGGTACTATGGGACCACCTGTAGGACATCCGACTAATGCTTCTGCTCATAGCCGTTCTGGATCTCAATCTATGGTACTTTAAATCTTTTTGCGAGTTTAAGCAATATATATTCGAATTGCGTTACAAATATAAAAAAATTCATAATATTTGTAAAAGCTAATGATTTTAAATTGTTTAAATTAACTTTGCAACTATCGATAACTATCGCTGAAATTGTAATCAATTTTTTCCATAGCCTCGTCAAAATGGTCGCTATTCTCGAGTACCATCTCAAGGAGGTGGCAGCGGCACGCATAACGTCTTCTCGCCCGAATACGACGATCCGGCTAATTGCGCTCCCGAAGAAGACCAATATGGATCACAATACGGACAATATGGCGCACCTTACGATCACTATGGATCTCGCGGATCAGTCGGACGTCGTAGTGTGGGCTCGGCTCGCAACATTCCCATCTCTGGATCGCCGGAACCGCCACCACCGCCACCGAGGAACCACCAAGATCAGAATAACTCTAGCTTCAATGACAGCAAGGAGAGCAACGAGATCAGCGAGGCCGAGTGTGATCGCGATCAGCTTGTCAACCGCAACTACGGCGGTCAGTAGAAAGATTCGCGACAGCTCGGAGAACGAGCAAGGGGGAGACCATGAAACTGGGGCTCGATTTGATTCGATGGGGAAGACATAAGCTTCGCCTTTCCCATTTGAATCTTACCAGTCCGATAACGTGCTCCCTCTCGAGGAACGATCTCGCTCTAATTCAGCTCTACTATTGATGCTCGTTTCATATGCACTAAGCATTATTAGGCGTACGACGGCTCATTATGCGGACATATCGCATGGCGGGCGAGTCGCGAATGAAGAAGACTCACCGCGAATTATGTGTTTTTCTTTCTTTTTTTTGTCTTTTTTAATCCTAATCATTTATATAGTTTCCACAAATTGCATGTTACGTGTTGTCGTAGTAGTTTAATCGTTGTGTCAATCGTGCCGTGTGTTTTTCTATTTCAGTGAATGCTCGCGGCAAGGACGGCATGACCACCGAGGAGATGCGTAAACTCATAGAGAGGTCAGTAGAGCGCGAGTGAGTTTGGTTAACGGTGAACGGTTTAATGGCGTTACACCGTTCCTGCCGCTGTGTCTCGAGCGATTTCATTTTCGCACGAGAGCTGTAATTGCCGATATCATACCGCGGTAAAATATCCCGCGGATATTTTTCTGAATTGAGCGATGTTTTACAATCGTTCATCGCGGCGTCGACCGCGATCTGATTGGTCTCTACGCGTTTTTCTTTAAAGAATCACGCCATCGATTAATCCCAATTCGCTTCTTCACTATATTCGCCTTCGTTCGAATACTCTGGTATTCGTGCGCGATTGAATTATCGATTGACAACGATCGAGTGCACGGTGGTTCACTAGCGACCGAAGAGCCTCGAATATTTAACTATTAACTATTTAACGGACGACTGATCTTTTCTTGTTTCATGACTAATTACGCAGGAAGCCGTAAGTTCGTTAAACATAATCAAGTTCAGGGTGTACAAACGTTAAAGTCATGTCAAGAGCTTTTGAGATGCGTCATACCATTTTCTAATGATTTTTATCATCCCATTGAAGTTCGGCTACCCGATTTGTTTTGCGACGAACAGAGTAGACGATTTTTCAAAATATTGCTTTCGGACATGACAAATCCTCAATCTCCACGTATCGATAATGCTTTACATGTGCTCGCATGTAGCTTTGATGAATAATGCTTTGTGCAACGTGTAGTTGTGTAATTAATTCGAAGCTAGAATGTGCGATAGAGATATGATGCTATTGTATTCGTATTTTCACCGCAGCTTGCTTTATCACTACTATTAAATTTGTTTTTCGAACTGCTTACATTATTAATAATTGATATGTTTACGATCGTCATTGTTATATTTTGTTTTCCTCATAACATTATTAATATCATTGCCGTCATAGTTGATGTAGTTGTTATAGCGCATGTTTCGCATACGGATCTCTTCTTTTAACGGCAATTGCTAATATTAATACATCAAACAAGATAAACGCTTCTTTTTAATGTTAAAAATAAAGACGTTAAAATTTGTTGCTGTTCAATAAAAAAAAACATGCGGAAGAGATCTGCGAGCGAAAGGAATTGTTGAAGTTACATGGTAAAACGACCGGTCGATGTCGGATGCCGAAAACGCAAATTCCTGTTGCAGAAACGAAGCTCCCGGCCGGCAAACCGGCGGCCCCCACGGCGGTCACGGGGGACTCCTCACACCCTACGATACTGTGGCAGTGTAACCTGTAAATCGTCATCTTCCGTGGTCTTCCGCCTCTCTCGAAAGCCAATGAGAGCCAGGAAAAAAGCAGCCGAGAGACGCGGAAATGAAGCGCACGCCAACTCTTCCCCCGGTGCTGTCGTCGGTCCAATTTGCAACGATTTACGGTAGAAATTAGAGACGTCGTCGCGAGTAGATAGATTCGATTACCGTGTAAGGTGTACGCGTATTGATATCATCTCAAGATCGTGATTACGGACGAGGATTTTTCAGCCCGCCTCGCGAAATGGGACCGCCTCCTTCGCCCTCGCGACCATATCACGTGATTTTTCTCTTTCTCTCGCTCTTCGGCCTTCCGCTCTTTCCTTGTACTTCCTCGGGTACATTCGTTTGCATTTGATCCTAGGGGAAGGCCCGAAACTCAAAAACTGCCCTGTTTTTGATAAATTTTTTCGAACCAATTCAGTCGATTACGCACATCGAGGAAGACCAGACTCAAGACTGTCTGTATTTACTGCCCTTATGCGAAGGAGGCACAGCGATTCGTGAGGTCAGTCATGCTTCGTTCGTAAGTTGCGAGTCCTAGAACTCCTCACGCACGTTCGATTACATTGTGTCAATTTTTTCATACTAACAGAAGAAAATGATTTGATACATCTTCCTTCTTGATGATACATGTCCGAACATGACGTGATTTAATGAAGATATTTGATGAGACGAACTTATTATTAATAAACCCGTGACAAAATATTTCAATGATCAGAGAGACAATTTGCATTTTCTCGCGCGCTGTCATCGAACGTGTATACGCGGAATTCGAGGCTCGAGAGACTGCCGCGAAAGAGACTGTCCTGTAGGAAGGCGAACACAGCCGGAAGTCGTGTTCGCGGACGCTCAGCTGCGGCAGAGACGCGGCCCGCGATGGTGCTCTCGGCGACGGTGGATTTAAACGGGGGTCTTCTGATATATATCCAGGATATAATCCTAGGTTACATTCGTCGCAGGAGTAATGGGAAAAAAAAAATGAAACGTATAAACGACATATATGCGTATACATGAGATTAGTTGGTCGCTTTTTAAGTCATGGTTGTGCCACACTGCCGCTCCCTGCGGGCGTACGATATATAGATACATATACGTACACATATACTACATATATACATATACTGTACGATTTATAATTTCGTAACGAAGGTTGTGTCCCTTCCCCTTATCTCCCTCCCCCCCCCCCTTGATGGTCGGTGATCTTGAGTCTCGACGTCGCGGAGAGCAAAGTTTATAGGGTACGTCGTCGCTTTCTTTGTCTTTCGTCGTTATCCTTCTAGCGATCCGTTTAGGCGATCGATTCGAGATATTCCTATCGCTCGAAAGGGGAGAAATCCCGTACACATACACACACACACACACATACAAAACGCCGATCGACTGTCCGTAGGAAGAACAACGCGGCAAGCCATCGAGGGAACGCTTCGATACACGGCAGGCCAGCCACAATAACGTTTACATCATCGCCACGCGCGCAATATACGTCACACTACACTTGCTGTCGTCCTATATGATATAAATATTTAGTCCGCTGTAAACACCTAATTATCCCCCCGTGCTAATCTTCTACGATCGATTGCGACGTACCGATAAGATTCACTGATATCGCGACGATGATCGTTACAGGTGTAAGCGATTCGAGTAATAAAGAAGCTGGTTTAACGTAGATAGCTCGTAAGTCGGACGGATGGTCGCGAGAAGGCGTCGTTGGATCTTCGCGACGAGGCGAGAAGTCGGGATTTGGTTTAGCGGAACGGATTAACTTCAGAACGCGATGGATTGGAAGGTGATCTGTCTTGTCTTGTCTTGTCTTGTCTGTCCGCGATCGGACGATTGACCTTTTGCTGGTTCGACGAACGAACGAAGCGGATGCTTCCCGAACTTTTTCGCCTGTGTCATCACCAGCCCCGACATCGCGCTACGTCGCGATCACGACGCCGTGTCTCATAGTTCGTTTTTATCACGATACTATTTCTAAATATATACATACAAATATAAATATAAATATATATTATGTATACACTAACTATATATACATACGTTGTAAGTAGCTATTTCTAGGTGTCGCATTTGTTTGCCGAGGCGATGCACGAGCCGGCTTCCAGTTGGGCGGCTAAGCCAAGAAGCACCCCTGAGAAACATTTGTCACGCGAGTTGCGACATTAATTACTACTCCGTATATTTAATTCTGGATGCAATCGTGTTGAACATGCAACATTTTACGTGTTATCGTTCCTTGTTAGCGTTACCGTTAATTTAATTCATCTAATTATTAGATTTTATGTAATTTATTAAATTAATTTATCGATTAAATGTTTGGTGACTCTTGTTTGACATTAAGATTTCTGGTATATTACTACTACTACATTACAAGTAATCCCAAAGTTATCTTCAGTCGAGCCGCTATTAGTATGGCCTAAATTGCCACTGCCATCGTTTCTTGTTATTCACGTGAGTGAGATTAGAATGGAAAATGCGCACACACACAGACTGCCGAGAGAATTTTCGAGATGTTTGAATAAAATTTCAAGGGTGCTTCAACCGCACGAGCCGCTTCTGCTCTCGCAGAGGAATTCCTACCCTCTGCCATTTGAAACTGGCCGCGGCTCGACGCGCCAACGCACTTTTACTCATCGATGTGATTTTAAAAGGCTGCGCAAAAAGCCTCGTGTCTCGTGTATATGTTACGATCGCGCTCTTACCGTAATTAACCGTAGCCGTATCTCGTCCCAAGTCACCCTTTACGACTTATAGTATCACGTTCTACTCACTTAACTCGCCCCTGCGAAATCTTGTCGCTTCGAATCGCTTCCGAATCTAACCAGAGCTAAGCCACGGCACAGGCCGATATTGATGATAACAATTGATGATGATAACGATATTAATGCATTCGTATATAGCGATATGATCATGTCCGCGTGCTGTCTTGATCGCGGCTCATCTTTTGTCCTAAGCAATGTGGACGTCCGCGACGTCGCACAGGTGATAGAAATTTATGTTGTAAGCGGGGCCCGGGGTGATCGGTAAAAGGGGCTACAAACGAGACGTTTAGCGACAATCAGTTAAATCGAATTTCGGCTAAACATTAAATGTTTTTTGCAGCTGAAACGCATTGACGACGATTGAGTAATACGACTTAAAGACTGAGAATTTACGTCCATGTTTGCTTATCACTTCATTCACTTCTCGTGCTTGCGATTGCTTTGCCCTCAGTAGCATTCTCGATAAGATTGGTATATTCGCGATACCCTTCTTGCCGGACACCCCCGAGCCCAACGTTCGCTCGTCGCGCTTTTCATGATCGACGTATACTGCGTGGTAATTCTTTGCAGGGCTCGACGTTACTTTTTTAAGAGACGCTGCGAAGCGCGTCGCTCGCTTGTGTATGCTTGATTGATAATATGCGTTGAAAGCATCTTGGCTGTTCTTTTTTGTACGACGGCGAACGCGGTTCTTCGAGCTCGTATCCTTCCTCCCTTATCATTCCGTCGCCTGTCAAACTTGAAGCGTTTCCTTCGTGTCCTTTTGACAATCCTCGCACGTGTGAAAGAATCGCGGGAACGCGTTTGATAATGGAAAAGAAAGGAGAGACTAAAAGAAAGAAAGAAGATGCGCGTAACATCCTCCGCGCTCGAGGAGACTCGAGGATCCGCTCGCAGTGTACCGTTTCCTCTCAACGCCACTACTTTATGTTTTTGTACCAAAGTTGTAGCGTCTAACTTTGCGTTAAATAAATAAACCTTAAAACGATCGCTGTCTCGTTTTTTTTTTCTAACCTTTCATCGATTATCTATATACGAGAGTATAAATGCATTTATTAAATAATACATTGTATATTAAAATCAAGATACTTTAATTCTTCAACTTTCTATACATTACATCAAGCCAGTTATGGATCGCAGGAACTATTTAAAAATTTATTCACTAAAAAATCTATTTTGATGTAATATAACTAAAAAAATACTATTTTGATGTAATATAAAATTTATGACATTTGCATTTTCATAATATTATGAATATTTATTAACAAAATATTAAATAATTATTGTACACTTCCAAGTTTAACACATTATATAAAATTAAATATTACATATTTAATTTAATTTAATTATAAATCTAACTTTATTATGAATTATGAAATAATTAGATTTAAATGGAAATATATAATATTAGAAAGAAGAGTAAATTACAGAATTAAATATTTATGAATACAATAAAATAGTTTATATCTACATATAACATATATAATCTATGTAAATAATAAATAATCTATAGATCATCAAAAAAGTATTCTATTTTATATTGATTCTAATATTTTTAATTACTGTTATTTAGGCATAATTTTTAGAATATCAAAATAATAGATTTAAAGAACTTGATTTTATACTCCTAAAAAAGAAAAAAAGATGTTATGTATTATTCATTTTTTGTAAACTAAACAATATTGCAACTTTTTTTTTTAAAACAGGTTAACATAAGTATTAATACTTCTATATAAATAGCTTTTATGTTAGCTTTCATTATATAATTTTTAAATAAATTATAATTGAAATTTAATCTAACTAATTAAAAATGTTTGCAGAATATTTTTATAAAATTTTTTGCGAAAATACAATTCATAAAGATCAAATTTTATATATTTTATTACATATAGCAATATGATATTTGATATAATAAAAATTTGATACATTTTTATTGAAATTTGTTAATTTTTAATATCATATTTGCATTATTAGTATGTTATTAGGTGTACAAAAAAGTTCTGAGCTTTAGATTTCATACAACTGAAATAACAATTTAAATGTTATATATCTTCCCGCCTTTTTGTGGTTTTAAAGCGTTGACATTTGGCCTTTTAAAATGCCATACGGTTTGGCATTTGATGCACATAACCTCAAAAATCAGTAGTGTTCACGATGGCAATAACAAAAGAGCATATTCGATTTTCCATCCACTTCGCGTTTCTGAAGAAAAATGCTGCTGAAGCCACTGCAATGATTTGTACTGCATATGGAGAGAACGCTGTAAGTCATACTACATGTAAAATTTTTGATACCATCTTTTACATGTAGTATGACTTACAGCGTTACGCAGCAAACCATTTCCGTACGTTTACATTCGATGAGAAAGGTTCAAAAGGAAGGCAGATGGGTTCCGCATGAATTGTCCGAAGACAACAAAAATCGTCGGCGTGACACTGCACTCACTTTGCTTTCAAAGTTCCGGAAAAAAGATTTTCTGCACAAAATCATTATAGATGGTGAAAAGTGGATTCTTTATGATAACCCTAAACGTAGAAAATCATGGGTTAACCCTGGTCAATCTTCGACATCGACGCCAAAGCCCAATATCCACGCTAAGAAGGTTTTGCTCTGTATCTGGTGGGATTGGAAAAGTGTGTTGTATTACGAGTTGTTACAACCGGGTGAAACAATCACGGCAGACCGCTACCAACAACAATTGACCAATTTGAGCGATGCATTAGAAGAAAAGAGGCCATTTACTGACCAAGGACGTCGTAAAGTGATCTTGCTTCATGACAATGCTCGACCACATGCGAAAGCGACTCAGGACCATATCTTTGCGTTAGGCTGAGAACTTCTCCCGCACGCGGCGTATAGCCCAGACATAGCGCCTTCCGATTACTACCTATTTCGATCGCTGCAGCATCATTTGGCTGATACACATTTCGTGAGATTTGAAGAGATACGAAAATGCATTGATGACTTTATCGCTTCGAAGCCGGTGAGCTTCTATCGTCAAGGAATTCGCAAGCTACCCGAAAGATGGCAAAAGGTCGTTGATGCAAACGGGGAATATTTCGCTGATTAATATTTTTGTTTGTTTTTGAATAAAGATTGAATTTTACAAAAAAAAGCTCAGAACTTTTTTGTACACCTAATAAAATCAGATAAATAATTTGAAATTTCAATTATTTTTTTCGCATTGTATCCTCTAATTTATAATAATTTATATTATATTGTCTGCATGAACAAGTTCGTGTAAACACAATATAAAGAAAACGTAAACAGTACCGTAAATATATAATTAATAATAAAATTATATCAATATTATAATTTCCTATTTAACAACTATAACTGTTACGTGCAGCATGCGTTATATTACATTATATTATTAAATGGAAAATTATAATATTAATATAATTTTACTATTAACTAAATGTAAATGTAAATGTTTACCGTGAATTTATGGAGAGATGTAATTTTTAAATCTACGGTACAATCCTAACGAGTTGTGTCTTTTTTCAGTCCATTTTGGTCCTGATCCACAGCCGCGGGTTTTCAAATGCTACTTTGTCGACGGCGCGCTTTTACCGGCTTGTCATTGGCAACGTTATCGCGGCGCGATAGTTCGACGTCCGTCGGCAGTGACGATTGTTTACACGATGGCGTCCGGCGGTGGTACGTGTCCACTTATTTTCTATTTCCGTGTAACCATGGGCCGGTCCGGCCATCGCGCGGCCAGACTCAACGCCCAAAATCGCGTTCTAATAACAGCCGTTCACTCTTTTCTTCTTTTCTAACGATAGAAAACGCGACTGAGGAACGGACAGAAGCGTCAACGCCGGCTCAACCCGTCGCCAATGCCGTATCCGAGACAACTCACGTAAGTGAACACATAACCTAGAAATATCGTGATACAGCTGACGAACGGTGATTGTATTATACTTTATGTTACCGTCGAGCAAATCTGTCAGACAGACAAGACGCCTTTAAAATTGTGCGCGTTACAACGCAAAAGTTAGGTTAGACTCTCGCTTACGTGATTCTTATCGCTTATCGCCGGCTGTCTACCAGCTGATTATTTCCGCGAGAAAGCAATGATAATTTTACGAACAAGAATATACGTTTCGAAGAATTATGTATATAAGTTATATAATACATGCAAGCGACATTATATATCTGATATTTTTTTCCAGATATTCATTGATCTATAAATCTTGTGTCCTATTTGATTGCAGAAAGTAATAGGGATGGATAAGGATGGCGATCTGTCTGGCATACCAGCAAAGAAACCTCGCGTCGAAGTACAATCTCTTCCAACCAGACAGTATTTAGATCAGACAGTAGTGCCGATATTGCTGCAAGCGTTATCCTGTCTGGCCAAAGAGAGACCTGCTGACCCCATAAGCTTCCTTGCTGGTTATTTATTAAGAAACAAGAGTCAATACGACAGTGGCGGTTCACCGCCGACTAGTCAGTGAATGCTTCCACGCGTGTTTTATGGAAATGAATATTTCTTCGTAAGAAACTTTTGTTTTTTGGTTCTCTTTAAACACATATTTATGATAAACACATGCTTTTGTATTTTCGTATGGAATAAAAATGTGTTAGCTTTTTACTGTAGGGACGATAGTGATCTTTTGCCAAGATAATATGATGTTGTTCTGAGAAATATAATGTTGATTAGTATATTTTAAATATTCAAATTATTCAAAATAAATATTATCAACTTTTTCTGTACAAAGGCAACATCAAAATTGTCCTAATTGCAATAGTTATAACATTGCTTTCAAAGCAGTGAACATGAAAACGTCTTCTGTTGGAAAGAGTTAGTCTAATTTTTCTATGCAAATTTAAATAAAGAAAATTAAAGAAATGAGGTAGCAACTTTTCTAAGAGAATACCGCAAAATGTCTAAAATAAATTGACTTTTTTGGTTCAAGTTTTTATCAAGTCTAAATCTATGATGCGAATGTATAAGATAAAGGGCAGAGAGAAGGACCGTGATCCAATAAATCGTAATGAGCCCTCTGCACTCGCGTCGATTTTAATTGGAACGACGATTTAATTGGAGGCAATTAAATGTAATCGCGCAATGAATCGGGGTTAAATTTATCTCGCGCTTCAATAAAATCGATAATTTACGTCAGACGTGCAACGTTCGCGAGCTGTGCCATTGCAAAGAGAATGCGGAAGAGAGGACGCCTGGGGGTATTACGTTTTATTATTCTTTGCGTCTTATTTTGTCTCTCGTGGCGATTTTCGACTCGACAAAAACTCGTTCGTTGGTCTCGTCGCCAGGATAATTGGACTCCCTTCGGGAGTCGTCGACGAGGTACAAGGAAAAGAAAATCCGTGTAGCAACGTCCGATTGTACTTCTCGGGCTTTAAATGACGACGCGAAAAGATATCGGGGTAATTTTGTGGCTGACAATTCGCGTGGCGACGTCATCGGACCTAGTCCAATTAACGGCAAGGGATCCTCTTGCCCGAGTTCTCGTATATCCTCTCGTGGAGTTCTCGACTTTTACCCGTAAACCCGTACATTGATCGCAAACTCTTAGTCCTTTGTTTTGTATCCGTTTAGCTGGTAGATGTCGCGTCTCTGCAATGATAAGATAAACGGTACTGAGCAGTATTTTTGCCAACTTGAGTTTCCCGTATAAAGTATTTTACCAGTAATTTACTCGTCTTAGATGTTTTAAAGGTTAAAGAAATCATTCAGAGGAGTTTCGTGAAAAACAAGAAAAATTCAGAAAATTTTACACAAACAAGAAAAAAATGATATTTTGAATTGTTTCCTTTTCCTTTTTGTAATGAAAAGATAAAACCGTTATCACTCATGTAATGACTTCAGAAAATCAATGTTAGTCTTAAATAATTTTGTTTTATGCGTACAATACGAATATATATAAACTGGAGCGTTTTTTGACAATAAAATGCCATAGGGATCGGTCTGGATTTCGTCGGATAAGTGAAGGACCAGTACATTTTAGTGTTTTATGTGATTGCACAATGTGCGAGCGCATCGTTGAACGATGTAGTTTGTAATATTGGTTCTGTTTCTGTGTATTCAGAGTGAAATTCCACGTTCGCTGTTCATTCCTGCAACGGATCGCGAATAAACGCGCAAAAGCGGAAAGTCCACGCTCGCGGCACAATGCAGAAGTTCGACGCAACTGTCAATGACGCAGTAACATTCACCTTCACCTTTTTTCACTTCCTCGCGGGCGAGAAGCTCGCAATAGCTGTTTCCACGTCGTGTTGATCCTATCTCCTATCCACATTCCTGTTCTCCGTGCTTTCCCAGCTTCAGAACTATGTAAGTAGTTTTATGCAATATTAAAACATGAATGCACATAGTATCTCGACTAGTGCGCGTTTTTTTTTTTTTTTTTAGTATATCAGCGATATAACGCAAGCTTAAATAAAATTTTGTTTTAAAAAATAAATTCAAAAATTTTTAATGAAATAATTTAAGATTATATGCATAATAAAAATCTGATTATTTTATCTAAAAAAAAAATCTAGATATTTTTTAGATATTTTTTCTTATTCTAAGTTATTTTTAAAAGCGCTTTTTGTTAATTGTTTTCCTGATTGATAATGCCATACTATGTGAAAAAAAACATATGTTTAAGCATAAATATGTTTCGCCGATTGCGACTGGTGTAATTTTCGCGAGTTCGACGATACAGGCACACGTAATGAAACACGACGACTGACGCGTGGTTACATTTTTACATCTCTACAATGTGCAGCATCGAATTTCGCGTCTACATCGAGAATTGAACTCGCTGAAATTGTACCGATTTCAATACTCGCTTTGTACACTGGCCGCGAGATTCCGAGTAGATATCTTCCCTCCCGATACCTTCCCTTCTATATCTATGCCACCCGTGTGGTTGCCGTATCGCACTCGATACGTGTGCAGTAATCACGTCGAACGCCAGGTCAGCAAATTTCGGAATTGTGCTAACAGTGACCGTGACCACATCACGTGTCGAACGTGTGATCCGAAAGATCGGCGGACCAAGGGATAGATCCCCGGACCATGTGTCCTTTCCGGAACTCCCTTACTGCGGCTCACCCCGCTATCGCGTACATATGCGCGCGATATGCGTACGTAGGGACGCGCATACTGCACGGGATGCACACGCGTGCACACTCAGACAGTCCACGGATAATCGAGGGCCCGTGGCTAATGGGCGAACCGTGTCACGGTTTTCGTCGAGGCGTGCAGGTTCAACCTGCCGGTTCGCGCCTGCACGCCCGCACTCGGGAGGACTCGGTCCAATTGGCACGCATATTGGAATTCTATTACCGGGATTACGGCCGGTAATTGCTCGGTTTAGCGCAATATCGCACGGCCGTCTGTGCGCGTCGTCGAGCCGCGTCGCGACGCTCCGGCAGGCCGACGGCGATCGTTCAGCGCGCGGATTAGCCGCGCGCCTAATCGCCGCTCGCGCGTGCTCGCGTCCCCCTCATTATGATCGGCGACTAATTAGTGCTGAATGCTTTCCAAAAATGTTAATCACCTGCTTATTGTATTACCTTTAAATAACAATCCAGATAATTATCAAAAATTACGCCTTTTTATATCAAGATATTATCAATTTTAAATGCCGTTATCAAATGGACGTAATTGTACAAATGGTATTCATAAATTTTAATTTTAATACATTGCGGATCGCGAAATTTTTATTTCTATATCGACATTCTTTAATCAGATTTCAGATTTACTTTTATAGGAAAGATTTGGCTAATGGATTAGCAAGACTAGCGTAAACATAGTATCTATTTACTTGCTCTTCTGGCCGTTCGATTTCGATCTGCATTTGAGATCCGCAGCTCGAGAGCTCGGCAACTCGAACTGTTTGCGATGTACAACATCCTTTGTAAGGCTCAATTAGGGAATGGCGACTGCTAAGACGGATCGCAGAGCGACTTTGGCAAGTGAAAGCTAAGATTGGTTAATTAATGCGGTAAAATAATGCCAATAATTAAGTAATGCAAGTCTCTGACTATTTCTGTATAGGAGAGATAAAACTACAATATTTATGATTAAAATATTGATGAGTAAATTATGCGCGTAATAATTTCTATGAATAAAATATAATTCGAATATTTTTAAGTGCATCATTAAATATGAATCATACATTTAAGATGTTAAGTATTTTTAAATAAATTTTATCCAATAAACTATATATTTTTACTTTTTATTTTTATATATTTTATATATTTTTACTTTTTTTATTAATATCGAGCAAAAAGATACATAATTTATGGTGCAATGGCAAATATTTTTTTTAGAAATAAGCGTTCGACATAATATTTTACAATCCTGCAGTTTAACATTCCTGTGTCAGGTTTTTTTCCGATATCATACACGGCAGAAATCACGGATTTATAGAGCGATTTTTTTTGAAAGTCAGTCTCAGTGACAGAAACGGTGGTGGACGAAATTGCTGACGTTTCCGATCGACCGGAATAAGAATACAAGTCTTAGGAAGCGCGACGGAATTTTTAGAGATTCTCTTCACCGATGCGGCGCAGGATTATATAAAATGTTTCTACATAACCGAGAATTCTGCCGCAGCTCTCTGCTTCGCCGGAGTGTCGGGAAAAAGCGCTTACGCGACAGATTCGCGCAGGCTAAAACTCTCCTTTCTCGTATTTTTTCGTCGCTTTAGTTTTAACTGATAACGGCAAAAATATTTTTCGGCCTCGACCGCGAAAGGTGATACACGATCTTTTGTTGTCACAACAGAAAGCCGAAGCAATAAATATCGATATGAACCTTCAACCTTCTATATATTTTTACGATTAACTATGTTTCGGATTTCCAATCCTAACCATTGCGCACGAAGATCTATGTAAGTATTTACAAAATATTTTTTTGGAGGGGGGGGGATCTCGAAATTTTTTCTCTCTCTTTTTCATTTTGTTCATTAAATAAAATAAATCTTTTATGCTATTTTCGCAATGCGAGAAGCGTTGATTTGGATCAATACATTGTTCGTAATTGCAATCCTGTTATTTCAATATTGGATTGTAAATAATCCAATAATCGCATAATATAGATGTTTCGAATAATTACTAGCTTTCCGCGTCAGTGTTCGAATATCTGAATTTCAGAATAGAGAATTTCGCGCTGCTGTCCGAATATCTGAATATCCAAACTTCAAAATCCGGATTGGTTTTACTTTACCCGGATTATGCGTTTTGCTTTCCCGGACAAAGGAACTTCTAGTCTCCTCGATTTATCGTAATCACAGGAGATAATCACCGAGGAAAGCGCGAGTCGGCGCTTTTGAACGGGTTAATTCGCGAAGTGGCATTATTTCCGGCGAGATAGCCACGCTTTGGGGAGGGTCACTTCGTTATCGGGTAACGCGCGCAGTCAACAACCGCGACCTCCGCGGCACAGCACTGGCAACTTAAATATTTGTCGGAGATTATATTCATAGTCCGGGTTCGCGGGGCGACTTTTTAATCAGCTTGTCGGCGTTCTTGCTCGCGTTCTCTCTGCCCTTCGCGTTCCGCCGAATTATCCCGCGGGTCCGCCACAGATTTTCATTTCAGATTTGGCTGTGATACTCACTACGCGGACTCTGTGGAAGAAAATAGAAGTCTGCTCTCTCATCCCTTCCCCTCTCTGTCTTCCCCATTCCTCTTTCTCTCTCTTTTGATTTCAATCTGTTTGACGATCTACCTCTCGTACCATAGTTGTTCCTAGCGTGTGGCGACGACGGCGTCTCGACTCCAAGAAGACAACGAGACAAGACCCACGGCGGAGAGACGTACGTTATCAGGTTGCGGCATCGTTCGAATCCCAACTTGGTCCTATTTTCTCCTTGCGTGTTCGAGGCCGCG